TGCCAACGATGTAATAGGTCTTCGTATAATAATTTTCTAATGCCTTTCCTACATACTTTATCATAGATTGTATCTAATGTTTCATCGATTGCAGCTTCTTTAGCCAGTTTGTCCGCACGTTCATTACCTGCCGTGCCCTGATGTCCTCTGATCCAGGATATTGTATAGATGTTGCCGGAGTTATATATCAAATGTCGTATGGTTGTTGCAATCGGATGAAGTTGTTTGCTGCAGATAACCTGTATTGCTGAAAAAGAATCGCTGAGAATATGGACATTGTTGTTGGTAAAATTCTGTTCTGTCCAGTCAATAGCCATTTTAATTGCAAGCAGCTCTGCTTGAAATACACTACATGTTTTATGTAGTTTTCCCTTTTGAGAAAAAATTTCATCGCCATTACAATATGCGACAATAGCACATCCGATTGAGTCATTTATACCTGAGCCGTCAGTATATACCTCAATATCAGAATAATTAGGTGGATAAATGTTAATAATATTATTGATGTAAGGTGGTAAGTTGTTGGTGATAGGACTTAAGGCTTCATAGTTATCTGATCTGAAGCTACAGGTTGCAGTATTAACATCATTTCCCTTTTTAAGTTGTAGTAAATTGTATTCTATTTGTATAATCTGTTATTGATGGTCTTCTAGAAATCACCTGGAGGCTACAGTTTGGGGTTGTCCTATAAGCTTTAGTTATCAATAGTAGTGCTTTCCTCTGAGAGGATATTAGTTTTCTTTTTAAGTGTACTTTTTGAACAGAGTTACCCCAGCTACCACACCCATAGGTAATAATGGGGATATATATCTGATCATAAATGATTCCTAAGGCTTCAGAGGATAGTCCCCAGTTCTTGCATGCTATTTTCGAAAAAGCTTGAAATATTAAAGATGTTCTTTTAGCTACAAACTTAATGTGCTCATCCCATCCTAACCTGAAGTCTAGCCATACTCCAAGGTGCATTTCAATGCATTTCTCTATTTTAATGGAGTGATTGTTCATTTTTATGGTGGGTGTACGTAAATATAAATTAGGTTTCCTTGGCCTATTAAATACAATACCTGTAGTTTTTGTTGGGTTAAACTTTAATTTATGCTTGATTCCCCAATGATAGATCTTATCAAGTATGCCATTGCCTCGTTTTTCTAATACTGCTCTAGCTCTACCACCAATCATAATTAGTACATCATCAGCATATGTCACAGTCGCATCTCCACTACTATTTATCTCCACTACTAGATTTTACTATTACATTTCGGATGCATTTCTGAAGAATTAATTGTAAAAGTTTATAAAAATTGCAAACAACAGAGAAAGATGCCATCACTCCAATGTTACCAATTTTGATGCCACTTCATAAGCAGCAATGGAATGTCATAATTTGTGCCAAAACAAAAAATGATATGTGATAGAAATAAATTCACATTAAGTAATTATTATTTATTACTGGTTAAAGACTGAGTTTAACATCACCTCATGATCAGCAAGAGAATATGTGCGAATTTTAAGTTTTAGACATATGGTCAAATTGTTTGACCATATGTCTAAAACTTGTTCGTAAGTTGAATGTTCGTAAGTAGGGGAGTTCCTGTATTCTAGATAGCAAGATTTTGGAAAGCCTGAAAGAATTCTACCATTTATTCAATATCAAAATTATTTTCTGGATTGAATATTTCTGTCAAGAACAGCTTTTTTAAGCCCAGAAAGATTTCAACATTGCTATATCAAAAGATGGTATATAATGGATGAATTACTACAAATTGAATAATCTAATAAGAGCAAAATGTAAACCATAATGGATCAATCAGATTAAGTGATTTCATTGTATTTTCTATAGGAGATATTCCTATATTTAAGATTTTTTAATGTATTGATATTTAGTTATTAGTATGTTGTAAGAGTGATAGTTATCTTTGATTTTGTATTGAGAGATCACTGTTTACGCAACACGTTATAATTTGTCACTTAAACTCCTAAAAGAGCTATTCCAAAACTATTGAGACAATCTTCTGTTTCATTCATTACTGTGGTTCTCACTCAAATGTAGGATATTTGAAGAAAGAGAGCTTCAAGAAATGATATTTCTGAACTGTTCTGAAAATCTTTTTAAATTTCAGATATATTTTCTTATCAAGGATCTTTTCAATTCCAACTGAAGTAGAAGAAAGTATGGATTCTTTTCTACATAATTGCTTTCAAAACCTGGACAATTTAATCTACTCACCAAAAACCTCTAATTCAAACCTGTAGGATACCTTTAATTATGAAAGGACATATGTAAATAAAAAGTGTAATTGTAAAATGTAAAAATTGAGAATAAAATATTAAAAAAATTAAAAAGAAAAATAACGAGTAATTATTTATTGTGACATCATTGCAATGATGGGCTGCAAGTTTTAATCATATTCTTTTAATTTATTTAATTTAAAATATATGCTTTCCATCTCAAATTAGTAGTGGTTTGCCCCTGTACATCATATGTTTACTGTAATTAATAATAGTTGTGCCATATCTGGTCTAGACTTTCATCTATCTAACTCCATTTTTCATATTAAGGAAAGACACATGGACAACAATGGGAATTTATAGGTGTACAATTTTTTTAAATTGCAGTCCAAACATATGTTTAAATTCACAGTTACATATAACATTGATTTAGAATATTTAAATACTTATGTTAAAGACATCAAATATGATTTTGAACTGTGTTCCAAAGTTTAAAATTTATAGCGTTCTACATCAAATTTAAAATATAGGGTTGGCAACTAAATGATTGCGGATTTTGTCAATAGGTGGCCTTAGCACATTTTTTGCTTTGTCATCGTGTTCAAAGCATTTAACCTATATTGTTTTCTTGTTGTTTGGACTTCCACCTTTAATTTAATAAAAAAAATTGTATCGATTAGTTATTTAGTTTTCGTTTTTATCCCAATTTAAAAATGGAAGAACAAGACGTGCATTTCAGACATATTTTATTGTATTATTTCTGAAAAGGCAAGAACGCATCACAAGCACACAAGAAGTTATGTGACATATATGGGAATGAAGCCTTGAAAGAAAGGCAGTGTCAAAATGTTTGCCAAATTTCGTTCTGATGATTTTTCATTGAAAAATGCTCAACGATCTGGCCGTCGAGTTGAAGTTGATGAGACCCATATCAAGGCCATTATCGATTCAGATCGTCATAGCACAACGTGTGAGATTGCACAGAAGCTCAATGTATCACATACATGCATTAAAAAATTAAAACAGCTTGGCTATGTCAAGAAACTGGATTTATGGGTCCCTCATCAGCTTAAGGAAATTTATTTGATGCAACGCATTAGCATCTGCGATTCACTTCTGAAACGCAACAAGATTGATCCATTTCTGAAACGACTGATTACTGGCGACGAAAAGTGGCTTGTTTATAGCAACGTTAATCGGAAAAGATCGTGGGTGATGCAAGATGAACCAGCCCAGATGACACCAAAAGCTGAGATTCACCAAAAAAAGATTATGCTGTCAGTTTGATGGGATTATAAAGGAATCCTGTACTTTGAACTTTTACCAAGAAACCAAACGATTAATTCAAATGTGTACGTTCAACAACTCACCAAACTAAGCGATACAGTTCAAGAAAAGCGGCCAGAATTGGCAAATTGTAAGGGTGTTGTTTTCCAGCATGATAATGCAAAGCCCCACACATCTTTGGTCACTTGCCAAAAATTATTGGAGCTAGGTTGGGATGTGTTGTCACGTCCACCATATAGCCCTGACCTTGCGCCTTCAGATTATCATTTATTTCGTTCCATGCAGAACTCCTTAAATGGTAAAATTTTTAATGACCTGATGATGTAAAAACACATTTAATTCAGTTTTTTGCTGGCAAAAATCAGAAGTTTTATGAACATGGAATTATGACACTGCCTGAAAGATGGCAAGAGGTCATTAACAAAAATGGACAATACCTAATTGAATAAAGTTATATTTTTAAGCAAAAATTTTGAATTTTCCTTCTTATTTAAAATCCACAATCACTTAGTTGCCAACCCTATAGAATGAAAAATTGGAGACCTGAAGCAGACCTATAATTAAGCTCAGTTCACACTGAGTGTGATTCACAGGCAAAAGCAAAAAAGAGAGTGAATAACCAGTCAAACATGACTTATTTGACCGATTATTCGCTTTGTTTTTCGCTTTTGCTAGCGAATCGCGCTCAGTGTGAACTAAGCTTTAGGTCGTAAATGTTTGTCCATCCAAATTAACATGAAAAATTAAAATTCTGCTGGTTTGAATAAAAGATTTTTGGTGAGTAAATCCTTTTCTGCTCCAGTAGAATTCATATTAAGAATGCTTTTGAAGCTTTGTGCCTGAATTCCTTTGAAATCTTAGGAGAAGAAAGATGGATATGTCTGTCTTTTCAGTTTTTGAATAAAAGAGAGATTATATTTCAGTCTGTTTTAAGAATAGTTGGTTATAGCTTTTTTAATATATATACAAAGTTAGATGATTAAATAAACAGTAATTCAACCAGTGGTAGGCAAAAATTAAAAATTAATTAATTTATAATTATTAAAACTAAATAAAACAGGATATTTCTTGATACAGAAGAATTATTTGTAATGCCTTTATACTAAATTTGGCACCATACTTTCTACTTTGGATAAGTATTTCTCTCTATTATTAAACTATTAATTTTTGCATTAATGATCATTCAAGTAAAAAAATTAACATGAAAATTGGCATAGCCAAGCTTCTTTATTATTAAGTGCATGCATATTGAAAAAGCAAGATGAAAGTTATTTATTATTTAGAAATATGTAATAATGATATTGCAGAACTTTATGAATTTTATTTGTTTTAATTTAATCAAAAAGCATTTAATTTATATATGTATATATATATATATATATATATATTATTTCAGTAATGCTTCAACCATTTGAGTATGATCCTAATGAAAAGAATAGGCACAAGTTTATGGTTCAGACAATGTTTGCTCCAGAAGGTGATATTAATCAAGAAACATTGGTGAGAATATTATATGTTCTAGATAAAATAAATTGTGATGTTGATAAAGTTAATAATGTAACTAAAAACTTTGTAAAAACTAGATGAAGTTTAAATCAACACACTAATGCCAAAAATCCAGCAAAATACATACATTAATATTAAATTGTGTATTTTGCTGAATTTTTGGTATTAGTATGTTGATTTAAAGTTAATAATAATAATTTTTAATAAAATTAATAAATACAGTTGTCCCTTGATAATCCGACAGATACGAGACCAAAGGTGTGTCAGATTACCAAAAGTGTCCGGATTACCGAAAATAATTACATATTTCGCATTGTTTTGCTAGCAGTAACTTACAATATTCTCTACTCCAACTGTTCGAACAGAACTGCTCACATAAAACACACGAAATGTGTGTCATCGAGTAAAAATTGGATGGGGAGATTCATGTCGCGACATGCTTCTGTGCAAGCAGACACGTAACGGGGACGGGTACCTTGACGGGAGGTGCGTCGGA